TTAAGTACATTTACTTTGGCATTGCATTTGCAGTGTGAAGGAACACTTCACTTGTATGAATAATACTAATGAAGATATTTTAGGGGCTTACCAAGAGCTTTACTGTAGTGGGAGTCCCATTCTTTCCAGTACGATTGAAATATATCATCTTGCAGAAAATAAGATACAGTATTTTTCACACTTTCCTCAAAAGTCATCAGGTTGGTGAGCTCTGACATGGTTGCAGGTACATAGGAAACTGGTGCTGGGATTTTCTCACAGTGTTTCTCCACTGTGGAAGCTCGAGAGTACCTCAATGTGTATGTAAATAGAATTCTAATTTCAGAGTGATCAGTTCACTACAAGGTGCTATTGGGTCTGCTACCACCACATCAAAACCACCTTTCTGAAGTCTTGGCATCAATGTGGAGTTGTTTATTACACCATCACAGAGTTGTACATTGAATTGAAAAACAACATCTAGGAGTATCCCTAGTTTTTTGTAGAAAGTCCATAGTGTGAGAGGAGTTGGTTTATGGTCCATTCACACCATTATTACTTTTTGGATTAATGAATCTATTTAGCTCTTGTTGGTGGAAATATGTATCTCTTCAAAATCCACCAAAAGATTAGGACTGGAACTGATAAATAGAGATGCTGAGGATGCCAGTACAGTCACATTGTGATTTCTTTGAATGACCTCTTCTAGAATGATCTTAATATTTAACCAGTGGCTACCATCTGTAGGCCAAATTAACACTGGTGCACTTAACACAATTTTAGTCAGAGTCAAATTAAAAACCAGGAGCTGGACAAACTTCTTGAGCATGGTGATATCCAATCCACTATTGAAGACATCCTACTGTGGATCTTTCGGGATGAAAAGAAATCTTTGATGTAGATTTAAGTGGATTTTTTTTCAAATAAAATGATATGTAAAGTGATGGCTATACTTATTCATAGTCAGTTGATCTATAGTTTAAAAGGAAAATTATGCAATTCAAATTCTTATATGCGTAACACGATTACTCCAAAATAAAAGTGAGGGCCAGAGATTTAGCTCAGTGGTTTCGCCACCTACTGCACAAGCGCAAGGACCTGAGAGTTCGATCCCTGGTACCAAAATAAAAGTGAAATCTACTCCCATTTTAAAGAAGAAAAGGAGAGTTGATAAGCCTAGTATCTCTACACTCTGATAATAACTATGATATATAAAATGTTCTTTCAATATAATATATCCCAAAATTTGGTTGAAAAGTAGTAATTCTTTACTACAAAAGGCACTTTATCAAAAACTTAGTAGTACTCATTTTAAGTCATTTTTGTATGCATTATCATACACAATCCTTTTCCCAATCCTGTGGGACCAAAATTATGCCCTGCATTTCCTGGAAATCAAAACCAAAGTTGAGCTGCATTCCCAAATTTTACGACAAAATATCACAGTTGAGAATATAGTCACAACACTTGAATCATTACTAGACCAACATTATTATTACTTCCTCATAGCTCTTATTTTGGAGTAAAAATGAAAATAACAATCTTCACTTAGAGAAAGTTTGTCCAAACATCTCATAATGCTTTAAATTGACTGACACATTCCCATACATTTTATAGGAGACAGCTTTCTGCTCTAAGAGGAGCTATTATTGTCTCTCATCCTCTTACTAGGGATTTTTCACTTTGTTCCATTTGACAACTTCATATACAAATAAAAACTTAGGGTCTGGCACGATAAGGGAACACAAGCCTTTTTACTTCATCATTGTCATAAATTAAAGTAGGTAGATCCTGAAGTTCAGTATCTGCAAACTGAAAACTACCCTTTAAATGATATGTGACCCTAGAGAATTACTTCAACTTTCTCAGTCTTACTTTTTACAAATGTTAAGGAGATAATGGCAGGAATTTGTTATATTACCTTCTAAACTGGCAACAATATTTGTAGAACTACTTTGCAAACTTGCTTGGTTCAGAACAGGGGTGTAGTAATATTAGCAGTTTAATAAGTTTGCTTAAAAATAAGCAGTTTAGCAAACATTATTGTTAAATCAGTGGCCTAGTTATTGGTTATATATCCATTACAGCTCATACTGAATAATAGTATGAACAAAAGCAAGTATATAATCATGCTATTTAAAAATCTTTAGTTCTTGCCATTAAGAGAAATAAGAAAATTACTTTATTTGTGATTAAAATGATATAAAACAGAAATTAATAGTGGAAATTAAGTGGTAAACTTCCTTTGTACACTCTTTTACTCTTTATATTTCAAGTTGTTTCAGTAACAAAAATACAAAGAAGTCAGAGAAAAGGTAAAGGAAGAGAGAAAAGTAATGCTTTCAGAATTATTATGTTTTTGTTTTCTGCAGAGTCAGTGTAAATTTGGAAATACTTGCTGTACCTTTAGATTTAGTTAGATTTAGAAATAAATAGCTAGAGAACAGTGTGGATATGTTAATACTAATGGCCATTTAAACGGGCCTAGCTAAGTTGATTTTAAATAATTCCAAAAAGGTATATATTGCTGTCATGACCTTCCAATGAAGTGTAGAGAAAGTATAATATCACATAAGGGAGAAAGAAAAGTGATTTTCTGTGATGATTAAATTTTCCAATCATTGAGATTTAAGCAAATAAAATATAAATTAAATATTACTCATTATTCATTAATTACTCATTACTCATTAATTGCTCATTAATTTTAAGGCCATGATAGCCTTAAAAGATTAAAATGCATATCCCAGAACAACAAATGCAATGTAGAAATTTTTAAATTACATGAGATTGAAACAAAATGAAGATTATAAAGAGTCAGTTTGTTAATCTTTGGTGGTCCTTGGAGGCCAATAAAATTAATTTTACTGAAATGAAAAATACTAGGTAGTGTAATCAGTTAATAGTGGACATATATGTTTTCTTTCCTTTGAAATTATATTTGAATATTATGGTACTTAATCTTATTTTTGTTACTGTGTGTATCTGTTATCTTATTGTCTCATTTCCTGTTTTCTCAAAATACTTAAAAATTGCAAATTCAAAAGTTAAAAAATTTTAAAGATAAATTATGTTTAGGTGCTAACTTACAGGGTTAAATTTCCATTCATGGAAAAAGTAATAACTTGTATGAAATATGTCAGGTGGGGTGATTTTGCTGTAGTCAGCAAGTTAAAAACAGGCAAGAAACAGGATAATCATTTCAAAGCTAAAAGGAAAAATAAATATCCAAAAAAGTTTAACAAAAAATACTGGATAGTTGATAAATTTTCATCTGAAATTTAAATTGGGGAGAATAAAATATCTAGACTAAAAGATTACAGACGATTTGGTGTGAGGAAGATTTTAGTTTGAATAATATTTCTTCAAAATCCTGGCTATAAGATTTTATTATAACACATTTGATATTTTGAAGCCTCAATATTCTTTCCTGTTATGATAAGATTTTCTTCTAATACAACAAATTCATTGCAAAGAGGAGAGAAAATACATGTAAAGCACTTATCACAGTATCTAGTGAATTGTAACAATTCAATATATTAACATTAGTATATCTATGAGTTTGGGCAAGTACTCATAACTTAAAACAAAATAAGGAATTTGATACTATAATATTCAATTCCTAACAATTAGCAGAGATTAAGGAACTTCCTATTTTGTTACTATGTAATCTCATGATATATTATTTTTCTCCACAGTTAGCTCATTTCCAGGTACATGCTCTTACATCATCCCACTTGGGTAATGCAGTAACCTAGTCTCAAGGCCATGTACTGCCTGTGGATCCATCCTGGTATAGTATATAAAATGTAAATCTAGTCATCATACATCCCTTTAAACATTTCTCAGTTATTTATTAGACAAAAACCAAAGACCTTAAAATTATAGAGACTGAAAACATTCATTGAAGTAGTTCATTCATTCTTGCAATCTTGACATCCTTTGCTTTTTTTTCTCATTTCTCTCCACTTCATATTTTTCAGCTTCAGAAATAATACGTCATCAGTAATATCCCTCACACCTTATTGTATTTCAAGGCTCCAATTCTGGGCATGGTTTCCTTCTCATACTTGCTTAGCAGGAAAATTAATATGCACTATGCAACAATTTCCTTATGCATTGCTTCACATCTGAAGGTTTTCAAATCATAACCCTCTCCTTGTCAGGCATACTGTTTGATTTTGTACACTTATTAATTGGATAATTTACACTGTAAATGGTCCTTTACATTTCTGATTTCTCTGCTTGACTATGAAAACTGTGAAACCTAGGATTTTAAATGAGTCTCTGTGGTAATCTCACTAACAGAATGTCCAGTAGAAAATCTATTATCAAAGAGTAAATAATAAAATTTAGAAATATCAGAAATACCAAAAGCCTATTTGATTTTTAGACAGATTTTTAGATTCACTTACATGATCAACATAGACCTTTTGATACTAATAGTCATTGATTATTATTTTCCATCATATAAACACTACACTTCATTGATGATCAGACAAAATTAATATAGACTATTTTGAGCAATGGTTGTGTTTTATCATAAATTCACACCTTAGAAAAAAGATGAGAAAGCCTTGATTTAATTTTTATTTTTTATCATTAAACTTTATTGATCAAAGATTATATGTATATGTATATGTATTCTTAGACATGAACATAAGTCATTAAAAGGTTTGTAGAAAGTTCAGTTTCTTCTAGATGTCTTCAATCAGCGCTGCAATTTCCAGGCAATTTCTATCGTCAACATAATATGTAAATGAGGTTCTATCTGATTTTCAAACTAATATATTTGTCACCATATTTTATCCAAAGAATTACTTAGTTGGTATTTTTCAGTCCATAACATTAGAATACAGCTCACTATATTATTTCAGTGTGCTTTTTATCACTTAGTTATCAAATTATAGTAATAGAGAACACAGCAGTATAATGAATTTTAAAACAGACACATGGTAGTGGAGGAAACATGATTTAAAGCTCTATTATTCATATTCATATAATAAAACAAAATTGCTACATACCCAATGCTTTACTATAGTAGGAATCCCATGGTTTCCAAAGAGTTTCAAACATGTAGTCCTGTAGGTGGTAGGAGATGAAATTTCTTACTCTGTCCGCAAATGTCATCTGGTCAGTAAGTTCTGATAAAATAGCAGGAACATAGGAAGGAGGGTATGGTACTTTCCCACAGTGCTTTTCCACATTTGAGGCTGGAGAAAACCTCAAGGAATAGATGAATGGTATTCCCAGCTTTAAAGCTACTATATCACCACAAGGGAATACTGGATCTGATACCAGGACTTCAAACTTGCCTTTCTTCAGCTTTTCCATCAGCATTTCATTTTTAAGAACACCATCACAGATCTCTCTAGACACCATGTGGAAGTCCTTTATGACTTTAGCCATCTCCTGATAGAATCTCCAGATGGTTGAAGGAGATGGCCTATTTTCCAGCCATGTCAAAACAAAATCCTTGATCACTCTTTCTACTCTTTCTTTTCCAAAGGACACTTTATATATTTCAAATGTCAGAGACGGGTAAGAAGATGGTGTGATGAAAAGTGCACCAGAGGCAACCAGGACAGTCACATTATGCTCTTTTTTAATGAGCTCATCTATAATGATCTTAACATTGAGCCAGTGACTACCTTCCATTGGCCAAATCAGGATGTTCCCACCAAGAGTGGTTCCTAGGAGGCTTATCTGAAGAGACAACAGCAGAATGTTGCTTAACATGACGTGTCTTGGATGCAGAAGATTTGAGGAGATATGGAACAAATGAGTGACTCTGTCTTTCAAGCAAAAAGACAAAAGAAAATGATGAAAATTAATCTCATTGTTGATCCAAACATTTGATATCCTAATGAGCCTCCTCTCTATCAAATGAAGTTAGGCATGGTAGCTCCATAGTTGATGACAATTACAGATTTAAGATTAATGTCTTTCATGTTGTTGCAGTAGCTTGTGTTGTGATTCCCATTCTCTAAGTTTTCTTTTGACCTTGATCCTCCAGCCTATTGTTGTATCACAGGCTTGAAAATTTTTTCCCATTACATTTATTAAAGCCTTTTTATATTAATTTTATACTTAGTGCTGAATACTAGAACTTCAAATTGGAACAGAATTCATTCAGACATTTAGGGATCCTAAAGTTAATGCTGTGAGTTTTTTGATATTTAGTAATGCAATTACTAAATAATCATGTAATTACTAAATAATCATGTAATTTCAATAATTAAACATTATACTAACATAACATTATTACAAAGAATATTATAAAAATAAGATAAGTGTAAAATGTGTTGCTAACTTAATAACATTTAAAGAAATTAGGTGGGTTAATCACTGAGAAAAAAATGTCATTATTAAATAAATAAAATATGTACAAATAATATGTGCAAGAGATATGGATGTTACTAGTAAAGAGTCTATCTGAAGAGACTGGCTGATTCAAGCACATTTTTACCAAAAGTACTCTTCAAGATCTATGTAGCCTGGATGAATAATATTACTTCCAGACTCTATCTTCCAAAAGTACCAATATTTAATAAGCCCCTGCCATACGACATTATCCAAATGTTTTACATGTGTTAATCTCATCAAACTCTCATTTTGAAGATATTCAATTAAGTTAATGCCATAAACATTTCTACATCAGAGAACACTGAATCCCTTGCCAAGTTCATAAAACAACATAAGGAAGGAATTGATTCTTATTGGACACTAACTTTTAAAGTCTCTGTCTCCTAGAATCTGTGTATTAACTAGGAAGATAGAATGCCTTACGAGAATATAATAAAGACCACAAATTGTAATAAGACATATAACATATAAAATGAATATATGTTTAAGTAAATAAAATTTTCATTTGCAAACAAGTAATGTGCTTGGAATAAAATTAGTTTAAAATCTCATGGACTCCCTTCTCTTTGTCCTGCCTTAAGAAAAACAAAAGCATCTTTATGTGAAATGACAAAGATAAAATTTTTTGAGTGTTATATAGATAGGAATCGCTTCCATTGGGGGTGATGTGATAATGAAAGGAATAATCAGTGGTAATAGCAATGTCTTAATGAGTGACATAGTTTCTATATTTATTTTGAAGTGTGAATTACCTAGATGTCTAGTCAGCAATGTCCACAAAGAAAATTAGTATTTTTCCGTAAAGAAAGCTTGATGTTGGGTTAAACATTCCAGATATATGTTTGATATTAAGAAAGTTCTCAAACTATGAAGGTTAAATTTTAGATTATCTTGTTTGTTTGTTTGGTATTGGGGATCAAATTTGGGTCCTTGCACTTGCAAGGCAGGCGGCAGAACCACTGAGCTAAATCCCCAGGCCCTTTGTGTTTTTTAATTAAATAGAAAACTAAATAAAAAGCCATATTGAGAGATGATTAATATATTTAAAAGAATCTAGAATACTCAAACATTGCATCATCTATAATCATAATAAAATATGTAGTTTGCAAAGGGACAAAAGAAGGTATCTGTGTTACTAAAATTGGACATTCCCTTAACAGTTACATTAATAAAGTTGGCTATTGCTTTAACAGAGAATTTTCTATAGAGAAACATTACTTTTGTTTCTCTTTTTAAATAAACAAATTTGACTTTATATAAAACTTATTTGATCTCTATTTAAAATACATTAATTTTAAAGTATCTGAATATTTTGTAATTCATTACACAATACTAACAAAATAATCACCAAAGGGTGACATCTTAGATCCTCTTATACACATGCTATCCTAAAGATCATAGTTGTCCATTGTGAGAATCATCCTTGTCTTTCCCATATATGAGCATAAACCCTGTTTCTTATGTATTACCCAGTGAAGGAACAATTAACTCTCCAATGGAAGGAACTAGTTTTACAAGATAAGCCTTTAAAAAGACAATGAATTCACACTTACACAAACTCTCCATTTACTGTGATGTAATGCATATCTCTGGATATGTATAAAATTATTCTAAAATGTAAAATCTGGGTTAAAAAACTTCTCTGATTATTATAGAATAGAGCTGAAAACTTTTTCAACGGGAAGCAGTGACACAAATTTAAAGTTAAACCACAAATTTTCAATGATGGTTGTTTCTTTTAAAAGAAAATATAAAATAAATTCAAATTTATTTTAAATACTTTATTATTATGTAGAGTCCAAATAACTTACCTGAAATGTCTGGCAGAAACTTTAGTGGCACTCATTTTCCATTAGGAAGAACTTGAGCTTAAATAAATCCTGGTTGGCTTAAAGTGGTATGAAAAAAAATATGATCTTAAATAAAGAGAGGATTAAATAGATTTTATTACACTTAGTGAGGGCATCCACTACATTATGAAGCTGATTAACATTTATTTAAAGGTATATCCTTATATGGGTGCTCTTGTAACTATTTGCATTGAATATTTGCTATCTATCAGGGATATATCTGAAATAATATCTAATTGTAATCTTAATATTATTACTAAGAAGTAAATTAATATAACATCAAAATATTCTTAATAATGAAATAATTTGATTACAATAAATGTTTTACCAGATACTGATTGATTTCTTATCTATGCTTTCCACTGATGTGATAAATACCTGAAAATACCTGAGAATGAAATCTTAAAGATGGGACGGCTTATTGGCAGAGGAAATCTGCTCACCAGGACAACCTGGAAGAGAGAGAACCCCCACTGAAGACTTCCTCTCTCTTCCCCTAGCTTAACCCATAGCCTCCTGGATGAGGCCACCTGCACTCAGGGCAGGTGTCCCCTGAGTTTGTGGTCCCACAAGCCAGTGTTCTCTGGAAACCCCCTCACACATATACCCAGAAGTGTGTTTTTCTAATTTCCTAGACATTGCTCAATTCAGTCAAGTTGACCAAAGATTAACCCTCACATTGCTGAAATCTACAGTGATTACAATGGGTGCTTTTTTTGATCTTTATCATATATTAGAAAATGTAGTAATTTAGATTAAATGAATGTTTTAAAGGCACACTCTTCTTATTCAATATCCTTGACAACAAAAATTACCATTATGATTCTTTGTGCTAATTAAAGTAAATTATTTTAGTATGTGTTTCGACTTAGTGTCCCAAATATACCATATATACTAAGTAATATCTAAATATTGAGGTAGAACATCACCATTCTTTGTTGTAATGGATAAACAAATGTGATAATGAAAGTTATAAAGACTATGTTAAGAAATAGTACTCCCAGAGACACACACTACCTACATGCACCAACTCTCCAGAAAGAAGGCAATTGTTATATACTACAAATATATACTAATAAAAAATAAAAACTGAACGATAAAATATCTGAATACAAACGTTCTTTGTCACTTCATAGCATGCATATTCAATGTAAAAAAAGATAGTGCTCCTTTAATAGAATATTTTATGGATTTTTTTCTCTCATTTGGATTGTTAGAGTCATTTATTTATCTACTACATAAAGATAAGTTTTCCAGAAAATATTTCACTATGACACCTCATTTCTGATCTCCCAGATGTAACTCATGAGGTTTACAATCATGTCGGTGTCTCCACATGAAGGTTAATTTTATGTGTCAGCTTGTTTGGACATAATGCCCAGATAAACTTTCAAGCATTATTCTGGATATTTCTGTCAGGTGTTTTTGGAATGAGATTAATAAATTATCAAATTACTTTATACAATGTGAATGAACCTCATCTATTTAATGGGAGGCCTTTAAAGAACAAAGACTAAGCTCACCTAAGTAAGAAAGAATTTTGCCAGCAGACTGCTTTTAGGCTCAAATTGCAAGCTTTGCCTAGTCTTCGGCCTGCTGGCCTACCCTGCAGATTTTGAAGTTCTCATGTCTCCAAAATGGCTTGACTCAGTTCCTTAAAGTAAATCACCCTCTCTCTGTTGCTTACTTTGTCTCTTTACACAGACATACAGACACACAATGCAAGTCCTGTTGATTCTGTTTCTCTGAAGAACCGTGACTAATCAACTCTATGCAAATAGATTATCTGAGATGACTTCCCTCTAGTCACTGATGTTGCCCTCATTGCTTGTCACAGGGTTCTGGAACTGTCATGTGAAGAATCTCCACTGAGCTGGTCCTTGCTTGCCCTAAGATGTTGAGGGGAATATCTGCAAGACTTCTCAAGGCCTGTGCTTTGAAGTTGCCTCATACTTCTCTAGGTTGTAATAAGTCAGTCAGAAAGGGAATTATGACACCTGGGTGCCAATAGTTAATCACATAATGCATTCTCAAGAAATTCTCCTCTTTAACAGCCTTACAAATAACTCTTTTTGTATGGTGACTTTTAGTTTTTTCAATATAAATTATAATTTCATTGTATTTTAAGTTTTCTGTGATTTGACATTTTGGAGCACTTGCAATGTTCCATGTGGTATTTATAAATGTATTCTCTAAGTGCATTAATAGATTTCATCATTTCCACAACCTTTTCAGTTAACAGTACCTCAAAATCTCCATTTTCAGTGAAAAAAATCTAAGGGATCCAACTTGCCCAGTGTCTCTCAGAGACTTAATGAAATGGCCAGGATTTGAATATAGGCTATGTTCCATATGTTCAACAATAACGTAATTAAAACTTGATTTTTACAGGTCAATTTTGCTTATTCCCTTTGAATTTTGAATGCAACAGTACAAATTGATCTGATTGTCAATTAATTTCCTTTTCATTTTTCCAATTGGTGCTGATACATTTCTTTCACCTTTTTTTCCTATACATAAAAAAACAAAACAAGAAAGTGAAT